GTCATTCCCCCTATGGAGTGGTTTCTTGCTTTCTGTCTCTCCAGTGAGTGCGTGTGCCCCATAGCAAAACTCTCTCTCTCTCAAAAAAAAAAAAAAAAAAAAAAGAATATTCACATTCCAATGATCTAGACAGTATGTCTAATAAACATTGTTGCAAAGTTAAAGTGTTGTCAGGACCGAAATGCCTTTTGGGTAGGTTAATATTAAATACTCTACTTCAGGCCCCGGCAGGTGGTACTTAAGGCACTGGACTCCCACAGAGCCAACTGTGGTTTAAGTCCTGGACCTGGCAGCTTGCTTACCTACTTTCCCTCTCTCTCTGTCTCTCTCTCTCTGGTGAGCACATGTGCCCTACAGCAAAAACTTAAAAATAAAGTAAAATAATAAATGACTTTAATTATTCAGGCATAAATAATCACAATATACTTTCTCTTCTTTTCACATCTTTGAGTTAAATACATCTAGTGTGATAGTGTGGGCAGAGCTTGGTGCTTTAAAGCCAGAACAGTCAATCTCCCTTTTGCCACCTACATTACAGATTCACAAGCTTTTTTAGCCTTTGTTTTCTTATTTATAAAGCAAAAGTAACATCTACCAAGACCAGCAGTTGGAATGATGTCTACATCACTGGACTCCCACGTACTCAACTGCGGTTCAAGTCCTGGACCCGGTGGCTTAAACTCATGTTGGGCATGTGTGCATGTGTGCCCAAGATCTGGAGAGGAGGATGGAGGAGAAGGGATTGTGGCATAGCCAACCCCCCTGGGGGATGATTTCTTACTTTCTGTCTCTCCCTGTCTTTCTGGCAAACGCATGTTCCCTATAGCAAAAAGTCTCCAAAAACATAATGAAATAAAATAACATCTACCTGGTAGTGCTGTTAAAGGATTAAGAAAAGTTGTATATGTGTAGAAGGAATGAAATGCTGGTGGGAGAATTCTCCAAGAAATAAAATGTCTTTTAATTATAAGGTAGACCACAATGATGATGAGGGCAGCAAGAACAAAGATATAGACTACAAAATTAATGCCTAAAATAAGAAGAATGTGAGGTTTTCACAAGCAGCTGAGAGAAGAAGAGAGCAGAGAGGGGCAGCTGAGAAAGAAACACATTGGGGCAAGAAAAAAGATTGCATAGCAGGATGGGGAGAGGCTGTTACCGGAAGAGAAAGACTGACCAATCCTCAGAGGCCAGTGAGGTCACTAGTAAAACAAGGAGGGGGAGGGGTGGTTTGATAAGCTTTTATTATTTTTTAAATACACTTTTTAGAGCAAGGGTCAGGCCCCATCAAAACCGAGAAGAAATAGAGATTTCCAATTTACCCTCTGCTCTCACTGAAGCAGGGTCCCCCACTACCAGCACCCTCACCGGAGGGGCATCTTTGTTACAACGGACGACCCTACATTGACAACATTGTCACCCAGAGCCCAGAACTTAATACTGGGTTCACTCTTGGGGTTGTTCATGCGGTGGGTTTGGACAAACGTGCAGTGAAATGTATCCACATTCAGGTATCACACAGAGTAGTTTCACCACCCTAAGAAGCAATTGTTAACCTCTGAATCCCCCCCCCATCCTAGTACTCTAACATAAGTTTGCCACAATCAGCGAACCCTCTTCCTCGCAAGAAGAAGAAAGTTGGCCTGATAAAACTATCTTGGAAGTAAGGACACACATGCCTTGGGTAGTCTTAGTAAAAAGCTTGCTAAGGGTTGGCAGTGGCGTGGAGGTGAAAGGTGCTGGATTCCCACATGGCCAACCGTGGTTTGAGTCCCAGACCTGGTGGCTTGCTTCCTTGCTTTCCCTTTCTCTCCCTCTGGTCAAATTAAAGTATAATAATAACAAATGGAATTAAATAAATAATTCTTTTTTAAAAAAACTTGTTATAATGCCACTGTCTTGAGTGAAGGAGTGTTTTGAGGAAATCAAGAAACATCAGATTTGAACTTGCACAAGGCGGTGAAAGAGAACAGCTACAGGACGTGAAATGCCAGGACGATAGAGAATTCAGGAGAAACGAAACACGCAAGTGGTATCCGGAAGAAAACGAAACTGCAGAGGTAGTGTGGCTGGGAGGTAAGAGGCGGGACTCACTTTATTTCATTATCGTGGGTCAGAGACCCGGCAGGCTGCAGGGCGCTGGGCAGGCAGCGCCATCTGCTCCTTTCCATGGTGGGCGGGCATAATAGTCCTCACTTTCTCTTAGGATGAATAAGGTACTAGACTCCAGTGGCTCACACGCCTTACTAAGACCGCGGACAAAAAGAAAACTTCTTAAGTAATTTAAAACTACCGCGAAGTTGTACTTTATCCACAAAGAGTCAACCCGGACTGCCAAAAGGAAACTGATTGGTTGGCAGTTACATGGAGGGCGGGGAAAAGGAGAGGTCTACTTTAGGGAAAAGCCAGTATCAGTCAAAAGCCACTTAGATCCTTACAAAATAACTAACTACACGATCAGTTAGAGTTTCCATCGTACCAGACAGGGAAAGGCTGCGATGCGGGGGCGTAAACTGGAAGGCTTAGTGTCCACATCTCTTTTTCTGCGGTGTGAACGCTCAGTTCGATTTTCGTCTTCAGAGCTTCTTCAATTCTAGCAGCAATATGGCCTGAGCAACTGAACGACGAGTTACGGTGCCAATGAGAAAGGTTAAACATTTGTTTTCAGATGTTAGGGAAACTTAAATGAAGACGTTGCTTTTTTTCCCAAAGTATTCTTATACCGAAAGGAAAGAAGAAAGGCAGGCAGGCTAACCGCGCTGCCCTTGTAAACAGGTGCTGCAGGATGAAGGCGCAGCCGCTCCCTGCTTCCTGCTCAGGGGTAGGCTCTGACTCTGAGCTCTGCAGGCATCTCCGCTGGAAACTAATGAAGGGCGTCTTTCTCAAACTGCAATTCCCTTACTACAACTGAGCAGCAGTGGGCATCAGGGACAGCTGGAAATTCACGACTGCGACGCCTCAGGTGCACGCGCTCCCTGGTGCCGTGGGGTTTTGCAAATGGCATTTCTCTGCCGAGACTGACTAAAGGCTCAAGCATCAGCATTGTGGAGACCTGACACCCAGCTTGGCCGCCGCCCGCTGTACCCCATCACCCAGGGCTCGCCTTGACTGGGTGATGCAGCGCCTTCGCTAGCCCGGTCCCCACAGGGCGCTAGGCTGCCTGCTTACTGCTCTTACCTACCGTGCCTCATGCTCCTCACTCCGCTTGATCCAGTCCTGGAGGGCAGCCCGGGAAGCGGGCTAGGGACGCGGGGACCGGCTCACACCGGGGCAGCCTCCGCACGGCGCCTGCAGTTGCTGCTGGTAAACATGCTCCACGTGCTCTTGCCTGGCCCGGTGCACCGCGGATTCCCAGCAACCCCAGGCTTCGCCGCTTTCCTACCAACCGGTGGAGGTTCGATTTTTATTCCCGCTAGGGGTTGACAAAGCCTAGCCAGGAGATCCAGGCCACTGGGAGAAGCGCCAAGATAGCGCGAGCTTGTACCGCCCCCTGCCGACCGATGGAGCAGGTGGGAGCAGCGGGGATATGAGCTGTACCCACGCGAAGTGTAGAGACCGCCCCCCAATCCTTCGCCCCGCCTTCCACCCGAGTCCCCGCCCTCCCCCCGGGTCCCCGCCCCGCCTTCAC